TGTGTGTGTGTGTGTGTGTGTGTGTGTGTGTGTGTGTGTGTGTGTGTAGCCTAGCATGGCCTAGCATGGAGCCTACTTAAAGAAGTAGTTTGAAAAGAAAAGTGAGATTATAAAATTTTCCACACACACTCATCAACAGTCATGACTACTAGATGTGACAGAGATTAAGCCACTGAGAGCCACTTGGAAGATTTCTTGGGACTCTGACATCTCTTCTGGAAATTCAACATTACCAGGCCCTGGAGATCTCAGTTTGGGGAAATGCCTAGCCATTGCAAGATAACTCTTCATGTTGTCCTTGCTTTCCAGAAACCCAGTTAGAGAAGACATCTTGGTTTTTGCATCTTTCCCAAAAGCCAGAGAAGTGAGACTGGCTCCTGAATCTATGATAGTCCTTGAAAGAGTAGGGAAGGGGAAGGATTCCCACCCCCCGTCCAGCGCCATCACCAGCAATCCCACCATTCCCATATACACAAGCCCGAGTGCAATGCAACAGAACCAGCAGGTTCCACCTTCATAATGAGCCAGAGACTGGCCAGCCCAGCGAGGAAGAAATGCAGCAGGAGGCGCCATGGGTCTGACAGCCCCACAAAAAGGGATCATCCTGGGCTCAGTCCTTCCATCAGGCAACTTTTAACTTGGAACCTAAAAATGAAAAAGTGCCTTTGTTTAAAACCCTCCTGAAGTTTCTGATCACGATGATTTATGTAAATAAAATGTTAAATTAAAATGTAGGTGTTAATAAAATCACACATATGATGGAATGGCTGTTCTTTTTAAAACTGATCTGCAATAAATTTTCTAAATTCTGATTGCAGGTGATTCAGGCCTTGAAAGCTTTGCCAACAATAGCCAGCAGAGGTCTATTACTGAAGTGGTATTAATATAGCTATCATCACCAATTCAAAGCAGATAATAAAGGACTGACACATTTATTATCATTATTAATTAACAGTTTTCTGAGATGGAATTAAATCAATATGCTGCTCTGATATCATTTTAACTAGTTATGCAAATCAAACATTTAGAGCCCATGAACAGATATAAATGCCATTCAAAATTCACTTCACACTTATTACTGTAATATCAGAACTTTCAGGCTTTGCTAGTAAAAAAAAAAAAAGGACTTAATGCTCATTTAATTACGCTCAGACATAAAGCTTATGGAATGAAAGTTGAAATAGCTGATTAGTTAGGAAGTCGTAGTAAGGCTATAACACTCGGATAGACAATGAGATAATAATGTGAAAACGTGGGGCTCTGCACAGAGTGGTTCTGGCAGATCCTATTAAAAAGAACAATGACATGTGTAGGAGAATATGTTTTAAAATTACGAAGTTGAGAACCCTTTCTTAAGTCCAAAAAGGAGAAAGGGAGGGAGAGGAGAGAAAAAAAGAGAAAAAGGCTGGGTTGGCGGGGGTGGGGGGAGGAACCTACAACTAGTCATTTATAAAACAGAAAACTACCAGGTTCAATTGCCCAACATTTCTTCCGAACTAGACCATGATGCTGACGGTGACTACAGAGTTCTTTTCATGCAGAATGCTAACTATGCTTTCCTGCTTTTCTTATCTGATGAGCAGAGGTCTCTCTCCACACCCAGGACAGCTATCTACAGAGTCATATTGAGTCAGAGTTCTCGGCTTCTGAGTCCAACAAGGGCAAGACAGGATGCAAGAGATCTGGCACTTAGTGATCTGGGTTACTCATTTGCAAAAGCAGCTGAGCCCCTAAAGATGGGCTGCACTAAAAACTCTACCAGAGGGATCGGAACGGCCTCCAACTCTGGCTTTGTGGACAACGAGAAGGCTGCTCGCTGTCTTGGGGGATTGAAGGCAGTGATGCCAAGAAGCAGTGTGCAAAGAATCAGTGACTTTCCTGGATCCCTCCACTACTCAGGTGGCCTTCTGGAAACCAGCTAGCATGTCCACAGTCAGGAGTTCTGATGGGCCAGGGCTCTGAGGTCAGGTCAAGGACAAATTTAAGGCCCAGGAAGGAGCAGCCAAACACTTTGGCTTTGGCTTGCTGCCAGGAGCTTATGTTTGGGGCATTTTTATGAAAAGGATGGAAATGTTTCTACAGTGTAAGTCAGTCTGGGCAGTACCTCTCACTCTTCCTTTTTCTCTAAATCCTATTTCTATCTTCACGGGGAGGAGTGGACTTGACTTTCAGGGCAATCCATCTCAGAGCCAGAAAACGCATAGTACATATACCAACAGAAAATGTGGTGCCAGTGTTCTGCTGTGACCTAAAAGGAACAATATAAAAATAAGAGAATGAAATGTTATTATCCTTTCTGCACCTTCCACCCCCAAACTCATTAGCATCTTAACATTCCTAAAGCTCAAGTCACAGACCAGTATCCACTGTTGTATTGCCATTTTCCATGGAATTTTACAAACAAAAAAAATTGTAAAGAGTTAAAACTTTGTCCACCAGGATTCTGCTGTGCGAGGTGGAAAACGTACCTATCAGTATGAGTAGTGGTGGGCACGGGGCAACACACAAAGAAAAGACTGGAAGGTGTACAAGAAAATACTTAATAGTCTACTCAGAGTAGTCTGGTTAATGGGTGATATTTTATCATCTTCTTTGTGCTTTATTTTCCCAATCTTAATATGTCCATTCTTCCCATGAAGAATATTTACCGAGGGCCAGCCACTGGCCAGGCACTGTATAGGATGCTAGAAACTCGACCATCAAGACAGACAAGGTCCTACCCTCTCAATGAGAACAACCTAATAGGGGAGGCAGAGAATTAATCAATCAATGGCACAGGTGATGATTTGTGTGATTTACAGGGGGGGAAAAAAGGATTTACAAACCTGTTACTGCTACTTAATTAAGATTCTACACATCTTTCCGGGTCTTGAATAAATTTGAAGTCTCCCAGTTTGGAGTGTTCGTATCTTCCCAAAATGGGAAGCAAGCCTATAGCATGTGCCTGAGGCTTGAGAAATCACTACACTATCTACTTTCTAATGGTAGAAGTAGAAGACTTCTATCCATAGCCAAGATCCAAGCATCTAGATAAACTGCTTTGGTGGTTAGCTGAGTTGGCCCTTCAACCCTCTCCATTCTGATGCTCACCAAGATTTTTACAGACTATTACCCAAAGATAACAGATCTGAGGCCCTCTACATCACCTGTGGCCGTCAGTCCACCCTCCCCCCTTTTATATTGACTGTCCTGGAACAGCCAGACTCAACAATCCCATCTGTGGACCAAACCTTCTCCACTTCTGACTTTCCAACAGCCTAAAACATGGAGCAAATTTGCCATAAATCATCCTCTTTAAATACATTAGATTTTCATTAAAAACTCATCTTTTTCCATATCTTCAAATATCTGGAGAATACAGAACTCAGAATACTATTATAGTGGAGAAAGGCTCTAAGGAAAATCCTTAGTTGCTGCCTCCAGTCTACTCACCTCCCTTTTTTTTAATTCAACCTCTGGCTCAGGAATAATATGGAAATATATTTGTATGATGACTAATACGTAGATATGGCTATATCTGAGGATGAATGTTAAGACCTCATAGGTAGGTAAAACACATAGATAACAAAATACAAGCTCACCCTGGTAGGTAACTGTAGGTGGCAAATGGGAAACAGTGTTTGCAACCACGAGGTCATGAACCAATGGAGCCCCACTTGCCAAGGAGGTAAGACCAGTGAGGGAAGCATCCAACTATAATAAGGAAACCATTCCCTCGATTCAAGGAACAGTATCAGTGGCAGTAAATTAGGGACAAAGCTCAATGACTGGTGCACTAACTAGGACAGCCACCCAAGATGGGACTGGAGAAAACCAGGCTGGGTTGTTGTGGACAATGCAGAAAAGCGAACCCTCCAACCCCAGCCTGTTTACCTCCCGCATCGGTCAGCACAATCAAGCAACGGTCAGGCCATTTCACTCCAGATTCCCCCCCCCTTCCATGGCTGGGGATACCCGGGGAACCTATGGTTATCCAGGGAAAGCCATGGTCAGTGGAGGGCTCTCTGCCTCTGATTCCCTGTTTGCACTGCAGTGTGCCAAGCACTGGGTTTTAAGACACATCCTCAGAACAAGAGGTAAGGTAAAAACATCCAAAACTTCATGGAGCCCACTGACCCCATTCCTTAAACCCTTTCCAAGGGGACCTTCCTCCCTAGCAGCTTAGCAAGATGCTTCCCACCTCATGTGAAAGACCACAGCTCTTCCCTCCTTGTGCCACCTATAGTCTCTCTCCTGGTCCTCCCTCTACCTGGTCTTCAGCCCTACCTTCTCTGCCCAAGAACATTTCTTTGGCCTCCTCAGCACCAGAAATCACTCAAGGTTAAAAGCAGCAAGAAAACCTTCAACTTGTCCAAGGCCTGAGAGGAGGAGTGGTGGTGGTTATCACATGGGACAGTCAAGGTCAACTGGTTCTCCCCTCTTTGGCGCTGCTCTGAGTGGTTGAGGTATGTCTGTACACAGACACAGAGGCAGGTGGGAAGCAGCTAAAACAGACCATCACCTCCTCTTTAAGCTGTCTACAGGAAATAAAAGTACACCATATACAAAAGAAAAGCACAGGATTTCTCTAAATTTCCCTCTGTGAGGCTCTTCTGAAAGTTGGAACTTTGCCTGGAGAAGGCAAAGAATGGGGGACGATGGGAGGAGAGAAGAGGAACCACTGAAGTCGTTTATACAGAGGAGAGGGGGCAGATATGTGTTATTTTATAAGCCTAGAAAAAAAAATTAAGCTACAGCAAGAGGTCACAAGTCAGAAGTTTTCTGAAGCTGAGCGAAGTTGTAAGGAACCAAGGAAGATTACAACTACTTTTTTGAGGTAGCTGGTGCCTTCCCAACTCTGCCTCCAAGCCCACCCTACCCTGATCCATTGCAGTCCAGGCTGGAGTCAGGGGTAAACCTCCTCCAGGGAGGCAGTGCTGCGCATTGGATATAAACATGAACTCCAATACCAGTTGCACAAGTCACCTAAAAACTCTGCGCCTCAGTTTCCTCAGTCTTGGAAATGAGAATAGCAATAATCCTATCTCAGAGGTTTGCTACCAGGATTAAATACAGTTGGTACATGTAAAGGTTCAGAACAGTGCTTATATATGGCAAGCACTCAACACACCACTAATACCATCAGCAGCAGCATCCCCGTCATCTCAGAAAGGTCCATCCCACTAGAGGTTTACCCTTCGGCAACGACCCTGCCATCACAGCTGGAGTGCCCAGAGTCTGCAAAGCTCCCAGGCTTGAGAGTAGCTATGTAACCTTCACACAGGATTATCCTGACCAAACCCATGAATGTGCAAACGTCCATGAATAAGATCACTTGAAAGCAATTTTGAGGACTTGGTCCTTCGACACTTTACATAACCAATTTATAATAATGGAGCACTGTTTTTTCTTATGGCCCACCGGTCTCCTGGATTGTTATTAGTGCTGCCTTGGTTAGGACGCTGCAATATGATCCTCTGACTAGAAATACTGGCATAATTTATTGCATTATTACTCCTCTGAACTGAAAGCAATTAATTACCTGGAGCAGGATGCACAAGTGAAAATTTATCAGAGGGAAGTGATGAAAAATGTGCCCACTGCTTTAAAATAATAGGTGCTTAATGGTTTTTTTGTTTGCTGGCTAATCTCAGGCATCTTATAAACAACTCCAGCTCAGTTATCAGTTGTGAATTCTGCCCCCACCCCCTCCTTTTTTGCCCCCTTATATTATTCTATCATCCCGTATCT